CATGTTGCTTGGAGAGGCTGTTCCTTGGAAAGAGGCATCGTGCTTGGAAGGGTGGAGGGTCAGCGAAAGAGAAGGTGACCCCGTCGAGATGGATTGGCACAGAGACTGCAGCAGTGGGCGCCGTGTATCAGAAAAGGGGAGAAGGCACAGGATTGGGCGGGGTCAGATCGGCTCTTCATAGGATTGCTCTGAGGGGTTCTCAGCAGTGCCAAACAGCAGCACCCCTTCACAAGAACTAGCACTCTTCAGAAACAGACATCAGGCTGGGAAAGGTTCAGGGTCAGCAAAAGAGAAGACCGCCCCCAAGGAGGTGGACACAGTGCCTAACGATGGGCTCAAACACGGTGAGGTGGTTTTGTTTGTTTGACATGTTAAGTCTTTATTGACAGTGTTTTTATGAATTAATTCATTTACATGTCTTTCCAAGCTGTATCTTTATAACTTACAACCAAGCTCTTTTCTCAGTATTAAAACTTAGAAAAGGAGCTTATCTACCTAGAAACATCAGGTGCATTTCTAAATTCTGAAGCACAAAAAAATCTTTCTACTATCCTCAGTATTAATGTTCTTATTAAGTGGGAAAATCTATCAATTTTAAAAAATAAAAGCCACAGGAAATGAAAGAATTACTATGTGCATTACAACTTGCTTACAGTACATTACTAAGAAAGCCATTATGTGAGGTTTTTGATGCGTGTATTTGATGGTGAGGCGGGCACGGGAGAGAGCAGAGTTCAGATCTGGTATTCACAGGCTTGCTCTGAGTCATGAGAGACTCGGGGACACCTGACAGCACCTCCACAGAAGCAGGCCGCCTCGCCTTCCTCCTGCAGAGTAGCAGGGGGTTTGGGCCAGGTTTTTGGTTTGCTGTTGAATGCTTCACCACTGTGCCAGACATGTAAGAAATTATAATAGGTAATGGTACTGGAGAACTTGGTTGCAATGAAGAGAAGCTGTTCCTACTTAAAGAAATAACGAGTCATGGAAGTGATCACTGTGAGCTGAGACTTGATGGGTAAGAAAGCCCAGGACTGGAGGACAGCCGCAGGTGGCCGTGGGTTCCTGGGACTCCATAGGCTTTCTTATTCATCAAGTGTCTGCTCACGGTGGTCACTTCCATGAGGCCTGCCTTATTTCTTTATCTAGGAACAGCTTCTCTCTTCACTGCAACCAAGTTCTCTTCTACCATCACGTATGATCATTTCTCGCGTATCTGGCGTCAGCTGCCCAGCCACTCGGCAGGTGAGGCTGTCCGCTTCTGTCGAGTTGCTGTTGGGGGCGATGGAGTCTATCATGACTCATAGCAACCCTAATGAATACCTCTTTTTTAAATTTTTTTTTATTATTATTTTTTATTATTTTGTGTGCGTGTACCGTCAAATCAGATCTGACTGGTACAGGAGGATATTGCGCCTCCTTCTCCGGCAGAGTATCTGGTGGATTCGAACCGTGTTTCCCTGGGATTGCAGTGCAGCTTCTTGCCACTAGGCCACCAATACCTCTTAAATAACAAACGACCCTGCCCATACAACCATATCAAAAATCCACGTGCACTTGGGCTCCTAATTGCCCTCCAGCTCTTTCTGACCATTTCTTCCCCCCTGGAGAATCCATTTTATTTGGCTGCTAGCATAAACAGCCTCATAGCACTACCATTTGAAGCCCGGTTGACATAGGGTTCTATGGTGGTAGCTTAAAGGAGACCTAATTATTTTCAATTTTTTTTTCCTTGTTGTGTACTGTTGAGTCAGATTCAACTGGCACAGAAGGAGTTTGCCCCTCCTTCTCCAGCGGAGCATCAGATGGATTCAAACCACGCACCTTCTTACCACTAGGCCACCAGAGCTCCCTCTAATTCTTTCCAAGAGAGAACTAAATCTACTAGGAAAGGCTTGCACAGCCGTATGGGCCACCATGTGCCCTGATGCTGCTTCCTTTCTCTCAGAGTAACTATCACTTAGGTATGAAGCAATACAGTTCATTTGCCTGGGCTTCTCCAAATATTTATTTCTTTGTTGAGGAGTTAATTTTGTTGTTTTCTAGAATTTTTTGTTTGA